CTAGTCTCTCTCTATCTCATCTGGGGCGGTACGGGTCCTGAATACCTTCTCGGGATAGGGATGATATTGTTACAAAAAAACCTGTCTCGGTGTCGGGATGGGGATGTGATGGATGAATTCCTAACGAGGCAGGGTCTGGTTTGGCCAAACCCGTCCCAAAACTGCCTACCTCTTTGCCATCCTTAGGAGCACGAGTGCGACCCAAGAACAAAAGCAAGGCTAAAAGGGCGTTCTATATAATAAGTGTATCCACAAAAGACATTATATCCCCCACTGATTCCGCGCCCAAAAAAAAAAGGTATAAACAATGGAGAACATAAGTGCCGATGTCGGTACCTCAACTCCATCAAAGGACCGTCTGTTCCGGTCACGCCACAGCCCCACCATAAACAAAGGGGCGCCACCCTCCAATCATCTCAGACTTGCATCCTCACTGCACACCCTCTCCAAGCCTCAAGCATGCTGTACGGACCTACGGTGACTGGCATAACCCAACAGACACTAAAAAGGGCAAAACGCATAGCCCAACTATCTTAGGCATTGGGGAAATGCAAGAGAAGATCACTAAATCTTCTTCTATCTTGTACATACTACACTGGTTGACCATAATCTGACACCTCCTCCTCAGATTATCAGCTGTCAAAATCCTCCCAATTACCACTTTCCAACCAAAAAAGACCACCTGGAGCAGTGCCTTGGTGCACCATATTGCCTTCCAAGGGAAAGAAGGCCCACAAATATCCATCATGCTCCTATAAAAAGAACACACCTCAAAAGTCCCATGAATAGACTCCATCCAGTACCGTACATCATGCCCTGCCCCTCATACTTCCTGATGGTACAGAATGGCCAGTAGCTCACCGATGTTGCCCCTCTCCCAATCCTGGAAGGGTCTCACATACTAAATATCCCAAAACAACCTTCCACCATCAAGGCAATTACAATCGGCCACCCACGCCTCATTGTCCACAACTATCCGATGGAGACCAGATAGATGGACGTTAGCAAACGGTCCCCACACCAGACATCCTTCCAGAAGTCGACCCCCTCCTGCTCCACACCCTAAAACAAATGCGTTTGAAGAATTCATCGCACCCTTTAGGATGGCCTTCCAAACACCCACCCCATCCGGCTGTCTGACCTCCAATGAACACCACCCACCCTTGCACTCTCCGTACTTGCTAAGAATGACCCTTCTCCACAACTTGGGTCTATCCATCCCGAACCTCCAAAACCACTTCCCCAGCAAGGGCTTGTTGAACAACTCCAAACTCCTTATGCCCAACTTGCCTAGTTGAATAGGCCTACAAACTTGTGAGGCCTTGGTGGGAGGGGATTATGGTGGCTGGGAACCCGAGCTTTATTCTTCCAAGAAAGCTCAGGGGTTTGAAGAATGAGATCAAAAGGTGGAATAAGGAGGTGTTTGGGAACCTTGAGTGGAGGAAGAATAGGGCTTTTGCGGAGATTGTTGAGATTGATCGTCGGGAGGGTTTGGGTGGCATTGATGAGGGTCAGAGAAGTAGGAGGGCTGCGTGCCAGGCGGAGATTGTTGAGATTGCCGTTTTGGAGGAGATCTCTTGGAGGCAGAAATCTAGAGCCGTATGGCTTAAGGAGGGTGACAAGAATACTAAGTTTTTTCATCGGATTGCCAATGCACATAGGAGAGGCAATCACATTGGGAGGATTACTATTGATGGAGAGGTTATGGTTACGGAGGAGGATGTTTGCAGGGGGATCTTATCTTTTTATTAGGGATTGTTTACGGAGCCATAATCGTCGAGACCTCGGCTTGATGGTCTTCCCTTTGATTCTATTTCTGAGCTTAATAGAGATGGGTTGGAGATTCCGTTGTCTGACGAGGAAGTGGTGAAGTCATTAAGGAGTTGCAATGGGGACAAAGCCCTGGGTCTGGATGGTTTTACTATGAGATTTCTCTTGGAAGGTCTTAGTAATTACAATGGAGACAAATCCTTGGGTCTGTAAGCTTGATGTTGAGAGAGCTTATGATCATGTTGGCTGGAAGTTCCTGTTGTATATGGAGAGAATGGGATTTGGGGATAAATGGAGGAGTTTGATTGAGTTCTACATCTCTTCAACGAGATTCTTGGTGATAGTTAATGGGTCCCCGACGGGTTTCTTCAGTAGCTCGCGAGGTTTGCGTCGGGGGGATCCTTTGTCTCCCTTCTTGTTCATCATTGTTATGGAAGGTCTTAGTAGGTTAATGGGGAGGGCTGTGGAGCTGGGTTTCATAAGGGGATTCAGGGTGGGCAGGGATGCTGCTCATCACTTGGAGATTTCCTACTTATTGTTTGCAGATGATACTTTGGTGTTTTGTGAGGCTAAGGTGTCCTAGCTACTTGAGGTTTGTGTTGATTTGTTTTCAGGCAGTTTCGGGTTTAAAAGTGAATGTGGGTAAGAGTGCTTTGATTCCAGTAGGGGAGGTGCAGGATATTGACGAGTTGGCTTCTGTTCTTGGATGTGGGATCAGTTATTTTCCGATTTCCTATTTGGGGTTACCTTTGGGGGTTTCTTCAAGGACTGTGGGTGCTTGGGATCCTGTGATTGAGAGGGTTGAGAGGAGACTTGCAGGGTGGAAGAAGCAATACTTATCGAAAGGTGGGAAGGTCGGTCTTTTGAAAAGCACGCGCTCAAGTCTTCCAACTTATTTCTTATCCCTCTTCTAGATTCCGTCCTTGGTTGCGGCTTCGATCAAGAGGCTTCAGAGAAACTTCTTATAGGGCGGCTTACGGGATGAGTTTAAGTATCACCTTGTCCGTTGGGAGCAAGTTTGTAGGCCGATTTCGTCCAGAGGTTTAGGGATCAGGAGGTTGGTGACCTTCAACAGGGCTCCTCTTCTTGATAAGTGGCTGTGGAGATTTAATCTTGAGCGCCACAGGCTCTGGAGGAAAGTTTCTTGTGCCGTTTTGGGGAAGAGAGGGGAGTGTGGTGCTCTTGTATGGTGAGGATTCCCGGAGGTGTGGGCGTCTAGAAATCTATTCCGAAATGATGGAATGAGTTTTCCAAACATATCAGATTCAGAGTTCAGGATGGTAGGGATATTCGTTTTTGGGATGACCTTTGGTGTGAAGATTGTACTCTAGCATGTTCATTTCCAAGATTGTTTAGGATTGCTGTTGATAGGCATGCCTCGGTCGCTGACTGCTATCGGCTTGATAGCGGGAGATTGACATGGGATGTGCATTTCTTGAGATCTTTTCAGGATTGGAAGTTGACGACGTTTATGGATTTTTGGAACGTTTATATTTTCTTGAGATTCGTCGCGTAGGTAGGGATTCTCTTGTTTGGGTGCCTTCTTCTCGGGGTAGTTTCGAAGGGAGATCCTTTTTTCGATGTCTTTCGGATTCTGTCAGGGCTACTTTTTCGTGAAAGGCAGTGCGGCGTTCCAAGGTGCCGCTCAATGTGGCGTTCTTTGCTTGGACAGTGGTGTGGGGCAAGATTTTGACGCTTGATAGTTTGAGGAGGCGAAAGCAAATGACAGTTAACTGGTGCTGCACGTGCAAGTGTAATGGAGAGTCGGTTGATCATCTTCTTTTGTACTATCCAGTAGCTTTTGATTGTTGGAACCTTTTGTTGGGTATCTTTGGGGTTTCGTGGGTTATGCCTAGATCTGCAAGAGGACTGATGGACACTTGGAGAGGGTGCTACGTGGGATCACAGGCTCGTGATTATTGGAGGATGGCGCCTTTGTGCTTATGGTGGTGTCTGTGGAGGGAGCGGAAAAATATATCATTTGAAGGAGAGGAATCTTCGATTGTTGTTCTTAAATTTTTCCTTATTAGTTCTCTATGTTGTTGGGGTTCGGGTAGACATTGTTCCTCCCCTAAGGAGACGATTGATTTTTTGAGTTCTTTGGGACCTTAGGGTTCCCTATTCCTCTTTTGTTGTATTCGGGACGCGTTCCCATTTTGAACGCTTTTTATGAATTGTCTTAATTATCAAAAAAAAAAAAAAAAAACCGTGGTATTTGAACGCATCTCCCAAGCCACCCCACAAGAAATTCCACTGCAGCTTCTTGATTCTCCTCATGACGGAGATGTGAACCTGTAAAAGGGAGACGTAATAGGTTGGAAGATTTGAAAGGGTACTCTTCATAAAACTCTCTTTTAAGAAAGATATTGCTTTTTGAATCAGGTAACCTCTTCTCGAACCGCTCCATCACCGGATCCCAAATAGAAACCCTCCTCGAGGATGTCCCCAACGGCAACCCCTTGTCTAATTTTAATTTAACAAAAAGCCACAAGTAAATGGATTTTTTTTGCATTTTTAACAGCACTATTATGGTGGTAAAATAATAGTTGTGCTAAATTTTATTATTCTTCTATTGGTCGAAAGAAAACCATCCTTGTAATTAGGATAACCTCGTTATATTCCTGCTATGTCATTTACTGAACTACATGCACTATATTCTGTTCTTGTCATATTGCATTTCGGAATATACGGAGTATAACATTTCTTTTTCTGTTTGCTAATACGACATAATTGTATTCCTGATCAACTTTATGTGGAGCTTTTGTCAGAACAAAATTAATGACAGTGGTTCCATCAAAATAGTCTAGCTTGTGTTGGCCTTTTTGTTCTATTTGCGCCTTTAACTTGGCCTCGAGTCACTCCTATAAATCAATTTTATACTTGCCTACGAAGCACTTGGCAACTACAACTGTAAACCCTTTCTTTTCACATTTTGTTTTTAGTCAGTTTCACTTCTAATTTCCTGCAGATATATTTACTTCTCTCTTTTTTGTTTTTTTACTTGTAATGTCTCAAGAATGGTAAAAGGCCCTATCCACTAATGGACTAAATGAATGTTTTCTAGTTATACATAGTAAATTTTGGGTCTTTTTACAGAATACAGATGGTTTAAGTACCCGTTGTCTTTTTGTTTGCTACACAAATTCCTGATCTCTGATGCTGAATATTAATGATTAGTTCTTGATATAGGACATGGATATACCTCATTACCTTTTCTTCTGGTCTTTTAGGTTTGCTACTATGGGCAGCATTACCATTGCTTTGCGCATAGTCATGATCATGAACGGTGGGTTATGTACGATGACAAAACTGTCAAGGTAAAGTTCATTTTGTAGTACAAGTTACAGTTAAGTTTTTTTTTTTTTTTTTTTTTTTTTTTTTTTTTTTTTTTTTTTTTTTTTTAAATAAAAATAGTCTTACAATTCATATTTGATGTCCAGGTAATTGGTGGTTGGGATGATGTTCTTACCATGTGTGAGAAAGGGCATTTGCAGCCTCAGGTTCTTTTCTATGAAGCTGTAAACTAGTTAAATTATACAGAATTCATCACATTATTCGATACAATGGGAGGTTCAAGATTAAACTTGGCAGAGTCACTTTCCGATCAGAATGTAGCATTGATGCTTGCGTCCGTAGAGTGCGGGTGAAACTTGCGATGTTCATTCAGAAGGTGATAAAGTTTTGATGTAAAATCCAGAGTTGTGAAATATAATCAAGAGTTAAAGTTATATAGTCAGTAGTCAAGAGTTGCTGTAGGAGAGACTGGTAATTTCAGGAAGAGATACATTTGGTAAAGTTTTTCGTTTTCTGAGATAAGATGATATGGAAGAGCCAAATTATGGGATTTGGTAGTTATTGACCTCAAAAAACTGCATCAGCAGAATCGGGATTCCGGCCATGGGGTTTTTTTTCCTCCAATTTCTTGGATCTTTCCAAATAAAGTGGTTTAGTTGAAGAAGAGCAGTAACCACCACCCGGTTGCCTGGCCATAAAAGAACCGAAGCGTGTGATTGATTACCGGGAGCCTACACCATTGTACACAGGGAATACTAGTTCTATAGATTCACATGCTAGACTGTTTTTCCATTATAAAAGAGGTTCTGTATAGATCAGTCCCCTTGGGTCCTGGTACTGCAACTTATAGCAAGTTCTTCCCCCTCTAGGTAGGTCAAGTGTTGTGAGAACTCTTATATCTTGACAACGTTAAATGAAAGAAATGAAAAGAAACTTTTTTTTTTTTTTTCTCTTTTTTAAGTTTTCTAACATATTATTATTGCTTTTGGAGAATTACTTGATATATATATATATATATTATATTTTTTTAACATTAAATAAAGCTTGTAAAAACTTGATGCCCATAAGTGGTGGGATCAAGTATAGATTGTGAAAGAATTAAAAAAAATAGGTTTGTGTGTAAAATGTTTAGTAGGTACAGAGAAGAATTCAGTGAGTACAGAGAAATTGTGATTTGACGATGCTTGAGATGGTGAATGCATTTAGGTCTTTTTGGATTTGCAGAAATTTGATTTTGCCTATGGCATTTTATTTGCTTTGTCAGATATCATATTGGTTTTGTAAAGGACACCCAAGCCTAAAATGAATCATGTGGACTTCCACATGAATGTATCTATTGATAACTTTCTATTTGTTTTGTTCTTTTGACTTGAGCTCCATACTCCGTATGAATTTACACACACACACACACACACACACACGTACGGGTTATGATCTGTTGCTCATAGATGAGCATGGAATTTATTCACTCCAGTTTGATGACAGTTGGATATATGATTGAAGTCTTAAGTCTGAAAATGGATGGTAGTTATAAAATAATGTTTCCAATCTATATGCATGTTGTTAAACTCCAGAGTGTGTGTTTAGTGATGAATTCTGAGTTGTTTTAAGAGGTCCCCTATAGTTTGACAAGAATAAATAAAAATAAAAACTCAGGCTGTGTTTGGTTGTATAGAATTGGAACATTGGAATTTGAGAAAAATATTTAAGAAAATTGAATCAAATTTTTTTTAAAATTCTACACATTCTAACTCTAATGCTCTAATTCTATGCAGTCAAACACACACCTTTAATACTTTTTTTGGACAGTAAATATTGTGTTTATAATCCTTAAAAACCAAAGCCATGTTTTCTTTTAAGTTGCAACCTTTTAAACTGATGATTTTTCTTTTTTCTTTTTTCTTTATTTTTATTTTTATTTTTATTTTATGAAAAGAAACACACTCAAACGCATTGCCCTTTGAGGGTTTGATATGAAGATCGTTTTGCTTTTTGATAAAGTCTGTAATCTGTTTGGTCTGTTTGTTTATAAATTCTTAAAAGCAAATGGAGGCCAATTTGGCTTTTGGTGCACTCAGAACGTGAAGAGCAATATAATTAGAGCCGAATGTCTCCCAATTCTGCGCACACATGCACTGAAAGCATTATTCAGCTGAATGCATTTGCAAACCGAATTCAAATCTCATTAGTAGAAGCATAGAATCTAATTTTAATCTTCAAAATAAGACAAATGTCCATTTAATATTTCAACATAAGTATTGCTACAAAAAATGGATCAGTTTTTCACTTACCTCTGTAAATAGAGTCCAACAAGAACTCTCGTCAGTTTTTTAAAAGAATACAATTTTCTCCATGTATATAACAATCATTAATTGTCACATCAAGTTAGTTGTGTAGTCGGATAAAAGTAATCGTGAACTATATCATTTTTCTTTCAATATATGCGCATGTGCTCTCTTTTAAACTTTTGTGGTGGACAAATTATACCACTAGTTTCAAAAGTATGAAAACAAGTAATTCTGTAAAAAAAAAAAATTAATAAAAAATAAATAAAAATATAAAAAATTTGTATAATTATAATAAATCTTCCAAAAAAATAGAACAAGTGTAAAAACTATTGAAGTTAGTAATCAAGAAAACAACTACTAATTCATCTTTTAATTTTTAAAAATACTAAATTTTGTCCAATACATATATATGGTTAATATTTACACATGAGGTTTTGAAGATGCATATTGTAAACAACTTTCTTTAACTTTAGTTCATCAATTTATTTTGAAAAATTCTCCATCTTAATGTTTGTATGGATGTTTCTATTTTGTTATTTAATTGACCTTTTAAACATCACTCAATTTTTAAGAAAAGAAAAAAAAAATAAAAAGCACTATTATTCTATTATAATGATTAAACTATTGTAATCAATATATTATTATACTATTATATTATATACAATGTCAAGTTGTTATGGTGAGAAAGTATATAATACGATTATTATTTTATACTATTTTATATCAAACAAACGTTATCCATTATTTAAATCTAGAGGACAGAACGTGACGAATAAAGCTATTAATTTTTGAACACCAACCAACTCTCTGCGATGACCCTTTGACTTCAGATATTCCAATGTAGAGGACGGTTAAAATTGAAGGAATAGGTACTCCTCATCCACAGGTGATCGCAACTTAGGGAGGAACTTTCCTTCTCAAATCCTACGACCACCCTCCGAACTTGCTATTTTGGGGAAGACACAATCCTCTCTCTTTCCCCTTCTCTCTCTATATATTCATTTCCACTCATTCTTCCACTCTCACACCTCTCCCACTTCAAACTTTCTCTCTCTAGATTTCTTCATCTGTTTTCTCTCTCTATACTCCATTTCTAAACAATATAGCTTCAGCTTGCTTACTCTCTACTGTTTCTCTCTCTACATTTGACATCGGAGAGAACTTTGACGATGGGGACTCACCAAGAAATCTCAGCTCTCGAATACATCAGACAACACCTCCTCGGCGAATTATCTCCTGTAGTCGAGAGTTCGAGCTTCGAAGAAGTTAATTCCAGTAATCTATTCGAATTTATCCCCAATTCCACCACTTCCGACCAAATTCAAAATGATTTCTTTGAATTCGAATCAAAACCTCAAATAATCGACCTCACGAGCCCAAAGTCGTTGAATTTGGACTGTCGATCGAATTCTGAGCGGAGATTCAACGACCGCAGGCCTTCGTTGAAGATCGATGTGGCTCCGGTGAAGAAACTTGAAGTTTTGGAATTAGCCGAGTCGACTCAGCCATCGACGCTACCTTTGGATACAGAGGAGGAGAGAGTACACTACAGAGGGGTCCGGCGAAGGCCGTGGGGCAAGTACGCGGCCGAGATCCGAGATCCGAACAAGCGCGGGTCTAGGGTTTGGCTCGGCACATTTGACACCGCCATTGAAGCCGCCAAAGCGTACGACAGAGCTGCATTCAAGCTGCGTGGAAGCAAATCTATTCTCAACTTTCCACTAGAGGTCGGAGGGAAGTCGTATGACACAGTCGCCGCCGTGAACGGCGGCCGGAAAAAAAAGAGAGACGTGGAGGCAGAGGCGGAGCAAAAGCCGTTGAAGAAGGAACGGTTACCGGAATCTGACAATCTTCATCCGTTAACGCCGTCTTCTATTTGGACGGTCTTCTGGGATGAAAATGTCAACGGTAGCCTTACCGTCCCTCTCTTATGGCCGTTATCTCCCCACCCGCCGTTTGGTTATCCTCAGCTTATGGTCATATGAACATCTTAAATATGGAGTGTATAGGCCATAAGATACTGGTTTTAAAAAAAATGGAGATATTATATGTTGATTCAATTTATTTATTTATTTATCATATACGTACTATTAAACTGGGTGATCTCTTGGATATTTTTAAAATATTAATTGTTTAGTGAAGTAAATTTACAGAAACAATCCAATTATGTGGAAGCAAATAAAGAACTTTGGCCATTGCAACATTTTATCACGCATTTCAACAATAAATAAATAATAAAATAAATAAATAAGCCTAATTAGACTGTCGGCAACTCTTTTCTCTCCGTTTATAGGAGCTCTCTTTTTATTTGAGTTTTTCCACTAGTTGGAGGTGTTTGTTCGGGTTCTTATGCTCCGTGTCCTTTGCTTGTTAATCTGTCTTTTCTTGCCTTTGTTCTTTCATCGTTGTCCATCTGGTTTCCCTTGTTTGACGGATTCGTTAGGGGCCAAGCTGTGATCTTTTCAATTTGGGTTGTGGATAGTGCTCTGGTGGTCGTCACTGGTTGTTGAGAAGGTTTGGATCGGCTATTTTTTGGCAGTGATCTGGTGGTTTCTTTGGGGGATACGGAATTTTTGGTGTCGGCGGATGGATAGGCGATTTACATATCGGTCTTGATCCATTTCTTGAACGCGCTCATTGATCTTCGGTATGTCTTATTTTGATAGATATTCTATATCGCGGGTTGTTATTGATAAAAGGGACTCTCATATGTTTGATTTAGTGGTGTATCATCCCTTTGCTTCTTCTTTCTTCCTCGATCTTGATGCGTTTCTTGATCTACATCTTTGGAGGGTTACTTGGTGTTGGAGGTTCATATATGGAGTTTGGAGGTGGCAATCATTTATAATTCCCTTAGGTTTATAATTTGAAGGCACCGGCCTAGGATGTGGGTGGTCTTATATTTTTTTGTTTGCTCCTTCATCATCATCTCTCTTTGTGGTGTGTGTATTGGTTGTCGAGTTGGATATGGGGGCCCTGTAGGCGTTTTCGGTGTCTCCACTGGACTGGTCTGGTCTGATTGTCGATCGGTCACATGGATTTCCGATTTGTTTAGTTGATCTGGTGTTGTTGTGGGAAATTTAGGTTGTCGGTCTCTGTGATCGGCGCTGGTGTTGTCGGTTCGCATAGTATTGACGTCATGGGTGATGCCCGGGGAGTTTCTGGTGGAAGATTTAGGATGGATAGTGGTGAGCCATGGGCACGTGTTTATTTCAAACTATAAACTAATGTCGACAATCGCTATTATGTTGGGTAAGTTAATTTTTGTTACTGTTAGTGTTTATTTGTATACGTGTGTGGTTGGGGTTTATCAGCGTGTGAAGTACGTTTCTTTCTTTGCTCCTAAAGATGGTAAACTCTTCGGAGCTGTGCGTGGTTGGATTTTTCATTGGTGTCAGTTGTCCTTGACTGACTTTGGGCTCTGGTGATGATTATCTTTTCTTGTGAATTGTGCCTTAATATGGTTATATATCATGTGCTCTTTTAGTTCTTTAAGTTTGAGTTATCTTACCATACTTTTCGTTGTTTTCTGTTTTTACGGTGGTGTGTGATTGTGTCCATTTGTGTACTTCGCCTGAGGGAGGAATGGAGCAAGGTGTCCTTGATTAATTCAGGAATTTGACATTGACTGTGGTTGAGAAGGAACCCATTCATTTATCAAAGGACAGCACTATGCAAGGTGATCAGGTTTGTCATGATAATTTATTTGCTAAAGTTTGGACTTCTAAAAACTATGACTCTTGTGGGGCAAATTTACTTTTGGTAAGTTATTTACTAAGTTGTGGCCGAATGACAAACATCAGGACCTCCTTCTGCAGAGGTTACAAGTGTTTAAAGTGGCGGCAAATTTATTTCAATTAATTATTCCAGATGCTCTTGTTCGCCATCATATTATTACTGGATGTCCTTGGTTGTTTGATGGTCACTTGGTGGTTATTAAGGAGTGGGAGGAGGGGCTGTTACTTTCTGAGGCTCTATTTCAGGTGTCTCCATTTTGGGTTTAGATCTCGGATGTTAAGGCGAATCTCCTTTATGAGAAGGTTGGACAATGGATTGCGGCTTCTTTGGGGAGTTGCTTAAAAGTGGAGTTACGAGATAAGGGTTTGTTTGATGATAAGGAGAAGGTTGTAGTGGATAGTCGAGTTTTACGACTTAAAGTGGAGTTGGATCTTACGCAACCCCTTCATCGTCATGTTGTGTTAACCAGTCCTACCGGCCTTGAATCTCAAGCTCAAGTCCGTTATGAAAAGTTACCTTCATTTTGTTATATGTTTGGCATTGTTTGGCATCATTGGAAGACATGTCCCGTAGAGCGGCCTCTTTTTTCTACAGGGTTAAAGGAGCATAGGGGTGGTTAGGGGTTGAAGGCTTTATAGGTAAGGATCTTTGGCACCCAGAGAATGAAGTGGGTGATTCACGGGGTGAGGGCTCAGGTAAAAAATGGTTTTATGTTGATGATACTGATTCGGATGGGTCTGAGGATCTGGGTATTCCCAAATTTTCTTCCATGTCCTGCCAGATTCAGGGGTGGCCTGTTGATTCCCGTGGTGTGTTTGGGAGTCCTTCATATAGCCAAGGGTTTCATCAAGTTCGTCCTTTTCCTTCTGTTGTAGTAGCTTTGTCGAGTGTTGGTGGCCCGACTTGAGTTGCAGGTGGGGATAGTCATGGGGAAGGATCTACAGGGGCTGTAGATACACAAACTTTGCAAGTTTTGGATACCCAAGGGAAAAGGGTGGTTGAAGACTTTAATCCTATTGGAGAGCATCTCCTTATGATGGAAGGGGGCTTGATTCATGGCTCCCCATCTCAAAGCCATGTGGCTTCGGTGTAGTATGAAGAGGTTGTAGCTTGTGCTGAGCTTACTTCTCCAATTAAAGGCAGGATATTGCCTTTGGAAAGGTGGGATCAAATGTCAAAGGAATAGAAGAAGGGGAAGACGAAGGCTTTGAAGTCTAAGGGAAATAGGTCTGATTCGTCTGCAATCTCTAATAGCCAAGGATCTTCTCCTATTCGTAGGGACCGTAAGCGTCGTCAGTCTATTTCAGGTGGGTCTGGTGCAGGAAGAGTTGAGGGAGATAAAAAAAAAAAATGTCATGGGGGATGGTGCAGTAAGTAAGACGGTAGATTTGTGTCCGTCAGGTGGTTTAGTGTACACGCCTTCAGCTTCATCTGGTAGGTCGAGGGCACAGGTAAATGAATCTTTTACATCGGACTCGTCCCAATCTTTTGCCACTAAACTTGCTTTGTTGGTTGGTGATGGTCCGTTCAATGCTCTAGAAACCGTTTAAGCTTAGGCTTTATCATGATGGATGTCATGTCCTAGCTTAGTGTTAGGTTTCTATGGGGTGGTGTTTTGGGATGTTTTGTGTTCTATGTGGTTCATGGTACTTTTCAGTGTTTGTTGTTTGCTCTTGTAATGGTTGGCTGTTTGTTTGCTAGGATTAAAAAAAAAAAAAAACACATTTTATCATGCAGCTTACAGTAAAACATTTTTTTTAAACATATTTATATGTTAATATGCCTTTTGTCAAGACATGAAAATGTAAAAGTGATGACAAAAATTAAATAAAGAATCATTTCTTTAATATACAATTCTTAAGTACTGACTTGACTGGCTGACCCAGTTGGCATCACGCCAGTCCTAATCTCGAGTACCACATCTCTTTTCCTTTCAAGAAAGACATTCTTTTTCGAATCATGTAAAATTTTGCATAAATAGTTAATACGGTAAATGGAAAATCTTTTGAAAAATTATAGTTTGGATTGAACATAGGGTTTCTTATACTTTTTTTAAAGCCTACTCTTCAACTATCATAAAGGTTATATGCGCGCGATCTATGTGGACTAACGAGCTACAGGTTGTGCAATCCCATATCACGTGGGAAGGTAAATTGCTTATATGAGCTAGTTTCATCTCCAAATGGTACATGATCTTTTAGGGTAAAACCCAATAACAAAACCGTACGAACTTGGGCATAAAACGGACAATATCATACCATAGGGTAAAACCTAATAACAAAATTGTACGAACTCGACCCCAAAATGAACAATATCATACCATGTGACGGAGTTGGTTATTACATTATAGGAGGGAAAATTTGGTGGTTTATAATATGCCATAATCAACAATTGGAGATGGCTTTAAAGGAGGTTGGAGATTGAAAATTCAATACTCCTCTTATTAAAGAGTCGAGACATTGGCAATCTCACGTGGTTAAACTAAATTAAAAGCAACACAACTCGGAGAAACCAAAAAAAAAAAAAAAAAATTAAGTGTTTATTGAAGAGATATGAAACATGCATAATAAACTAATCATGGTACAAGAATATTGTAGACACTAAAATTTTAGTGGGCTTATGTTTTGATAAACGGATCCATTAAATATGGGCCTAATGTTTAATTAAGTTATTTAATTGGCCCAAACTTGGTCCACTTAAATTATTTAATTAGCCCAGCCCAGATGGTTAAATAAAAAGATAATTATTCATAATAAAATATATTTGGAATAATTATTTTTAAAGATAATTATTATAATATAACCGGCCCGGCCCAATTATTATTTTATCCTTATCAGGAAATGACACATGTTATCATCCTATAGATCTAAGAAGCCTATAAATAGAGGCCTGAAGGAAGAAGAAAGGGGACACAAAGTCAGAAATCCAGAGGGTTCAGAATTCAGACACAAATTGAGAATTCAAAATCCACAAATTCAGAAATCCATAAGGTTCAGAAATTCAGAGACTCAGAAATCCATAGGGTCCAGAAATTCAGAGACATCAAATTCAGAATTCAGAAAACCAGAATTCCAGAGAGAAATCTCATCCCCAACATCCAAATCCAAAAGCGAACACCAAACATATCAAATTGTGCCGTTCTTCATCAAATTCCATGGTGATCAACAACAAGCACATCCAAAGACGTGTCGTTCTTCATCCAAATTCCTCGGTGATTCAAGATTAAGCTCGTGCAGCCCTTAGATCGAACCAACCAAATAGGAGATCGAATCAGAGGACCTTATTCTTTGGAATATTATTACAAAGGATTGTACTCCAAGTTTTATAATTTAATAAAATATTATTTTTGCCCCTATTTTGTTATCTTATTT